CCCGCAGGTTTCCTGGGCCCAGCTTTTATCTCAAAACCACAAGTTGTCACATTTTTACCTTTCTGACTCTCTCTCCCATCCCAGAAGAGAAGGAGCAAGAGGCTGCATGGTGCTGAGCTGCAGCATAAACACACTAAGAGTTGTTAACCCATAAAAGCAGGTCAAGTTAGGACTTGGCAACCAAATGCAGGCACTCCTCAGCTGTCTCCATATTGATTCATTCATGAAAGGCTTCACAAATCATAGAAGACAGTCTAGAAGTTGTGTTGTTTCAGCACACCTCCACAGACAACGAAGCAGAGCACTTAACTAGACTCATGTAACTCCCCATGATACACCACATCTTATCTGGGTAATCCCAACACATCACAAGAGAACAGCACAAATAAGAAAAGAGGAAAAAAAGAATTCCAAAGTAGTTTTCAAATGATGTTGGTTCTTTTTTTTAATTTATTTTTGTGAGAAGATGAACAAGCCCTGGTTTCGTGTCAGCTCATTTCAGCATTTCAAATGGTACAGCATCTCCCACAAAATAGAAAATTGGCCTCCTGAGCCCTTCTGACCAAAATCCAGGCTACCTGCTTGCAAAGACATCCTTAAAGCCTCCTTCTCTGAGAGGTGAATGCAGAAAATGGTTCCTTCTTCAGCCTGCAATAGCTGTGCTCCTCCAGCTCAAGGAAAAGCACATTCCTCTCAACCCCAGGGAGCTGCTTACGGTCCATCAGACCCACTGACCAAGAGGATCCCTGTGCTGAGTTTCCATTATCCGTGGCCTTTCCTCTTCCGCACACACTCTCCCCTCTCGTCCCCAAACTATAGACAGATATGGAAATGGGACCAGCATTCAAAGATGGAATGCACCCTATGTCTTTACATCCTCTTTCCGCAAAGTTCCTTAGAAATTTTGCTCATTTTCCACTCACAAAGTAATGATAAAATACCAATCAGTGCAAGCAGCATGCAGGAACATGCAATCTACTCATAGTCTTCAGAAACATTCACATCCCTGAATTCTTAACCAAGAGCTAACTCTCCATTCATCAAATTCATCAGTCATTGCAGCTGATGCAAAATATTTTACGCTATCCCACATTAAATGCAACTGAATTGCTTCAAGAAAGATTTTGAGCTGCCTACTGATGCCTTTCTTCTAAGAAAATCCCACGGCTTGTAAGAAGAGTCATTATCCACCATGAACTGTGCTACACTGTGGATTATTACTGGAGCTGCATTGCTAGAGGGGACGTGTGATCTATTAGATCTTCACACAGGTAATAGCAGAGAGACGCACTCAAAGGCACACATGAATCTACATCCCACCCACCTGGATATCAGCTATTAGTTACTAAATATTGTTAGTTATTAACTAACTCCATCCACCTGGGACACTCCTTTCCCACTATCCTGTTACACACACTTGCAAAAGCTGTCCATGATGATTTCCCAGCCTGGGACAAATACTTGTGTGTTCTTACACACACAATTCTCATCTATGTATTATGAGCTTCTGTATTTTTTATATTTGCCTGGAAAAATTGTCTCATTATTTGGAACTCATTCAGTTCATTAAAATCAAGTTTCACCTTCAAAGCTTCTTGCAATGGAGATCTGGGGTTGTCCTCCCATTCCCCTCCTCAGAACTGCCAAACTAGTGCAAAACCTTCTTCCATCAAGGCTGTAAAATAGTAATTTGGTATTTCTGCTCAACTTGTACTGAAACATATGGAAGCAACTGAGAATGTTTTCAAACTCCTACTTCAAATATTTAAATGTAATAAGCAATATTCATAGGTCATCTCTGCTTTCTGTCATGCAACTCTGTTAGCAGTGTCTAGGGAATTCTCTTAGTCTATCATATTTTAGACCATGAGGGCTTCTGCATAACCACTGCCATCTGCATTTATTAATCAAAAGAGTAGATAAAAAGTTCAGCAAATATTTGTTTTTTCCTATTTACTGCAGCCTTAAAGAATACATTTGAAATTCCTTCTTCTGCATTCAATAATGCCACGTATCTTACTGTCCCCATCACCTGCCTGCTCTGCAAGGTGATTAACTCTATGATTACTATAAAAATGTTTTATTTAGTGGGTAATTGTAAGTACTGGTATCTACCATTTCCAAATCTCTTGCTTTATTATCCTTGTTCAAGAAGGTCTTAATATTTAAGTGATTTACTGATCACTTAAAATGCCAGCCTAGCCATTAGGAGGTACATTTCACTACACATTGCCTAATTTTATAGTACATTATTTCTTTATAAACAGACACATTACTCTGAAGCATTAATTAAACGTCTTTGCCCATTATGAACTCCATTTGGAAGACAACAACTTATTCAACAGCCTGTCCTGATGGATGGGGTCTGCGACTCCACATTTTGGCTCACACCAAAGAGCTTCCTGAAGAGTGGTGCTACCAGGAACATTATGCCATGGAGAACAGTGATTTGTGGAAAGAAAAAGTCTAATGAATAATACATGGCATTTGCACTTCAGCAACCCAGTTTGCTGAACTATTTTACATCCATAACCTGGCACTAAAAGGCTCTGTTTATTATTGCAAGCCTCCAAGGCCTTTTGAAACAGAATTACATCAACCACATTTATAATACTTAACGTTGGCAACAACCTCCAGCTTGCTCCATCGCCAAAGGAAGCCCTCCCCCAGGAGCATCATTTAACACATCTCTGGAGAGAAGCTGGGCCTCTCAACAGAAAGGATCCTTCGTCCAAAGGAGCAGCCCATCAACCATCCCATTACTTACTGTTCCTGGATTACAAGTAATTGAGTGCTTGTGTCCTGAGATCAAGGAAGTCTACCTCAAAAAGCCATCAGTAAGCATAACTTGTCTCCTCACTAGGCCATCTATAATACATTAATTCTGCCTTCTCTTCCCCTCCTAACACCATCACTCCTGTTAGTACCAACACCAGTAAAGGCTGCTTGTTTCTTCCAAGACAGGCACCTATCCAATGGGCTCAGCCCATTTCCCAGCATCTCTGGACTCTCAAGACTGGAATCAACCCCAGACTTCGTGCCTTTAACCACCCCCAAGCAGTGCAATGTCACATGGCCCAGGAAGCATCCTTCTCTTCTGATCTTCACTCCAAATAGATTTACAAGATAGCCTGCAAAGAAATACAACTCCAGTTCCCATTGCTGACTGTACTGAGTGCAGCTTTTCTTAGGTGAATTACTCCCTCAGAGGGGTCCTTCCTGTATTGCTTAGGAGGCCAAAACAGCCACTCCAAAATTTAAGCATTCAGACAGCAGCATGCCAAGCTATGTCTTAACACCCTGGTTAAGAAGTCATTTGCCAACAGCAACCCTGCAGACGCACACACAGATTATCCTATATTTAGCATAGGAAATAACCACTGTTTCTCAGGTCTGCTGTGTAGAGCTGACTGGAAAATGATTTAACAGTACCATTATAACTGAAAAAGCCAAAAAACTATTAAAGGTTATAAAAGTGCTGTCACTGTTGGAGGACTCCAGGCTGAGCTGAGCCAAAGGCCACCTCACAAGGTTTCAGTTTATGACAAGCACAGACACTGCCAGGAACAGCAGCACACATGCCAACTAAGGGGAGCAGCACTGCCTTTGGTATGAGAGATAAAGCAAGTCTTGACTTTCACTCATTGTAAACTCGATAACTGCACAGGGCACCCTCATTCTGTGCTGCAGAAAGCAGCCCATATGGCTCCTGGTTAGCAAAGCTGTGCTACATCTTAGCTACACCCAGAGGACCATGGAAGGGACACAAAATGAATTAAAAGACAAAGACAATGCAAGAGGGCTGGCAGCTCGCATGGCTTGCCAGCTATCTGCATGCTCCAGAAGAAATGAAATGACAGAGAAGGATGTGCTGGCAAGGCTTGGTGCAGACCTGCAAAAGAAGGCTGAGCTTCTTGTACAGCACACAGATTGTGGGCACTGAAACATGTAGAGGCAAAGGCCTCAAGTTGTGCTGGAGACGTTCAAGTTGGATATTAGGAAACATTTCTTCTCCAAAATAGTGGTCAGGTACTGGAATGGGCTGCCCAGGGAGGTTGAGTCACCACCCCTGGAGATGTTCAAGAAATGTTTAGATGTGGTACTGAGTGATATGGTTTAGTGGGGAAATATTGATTGTAGGTGGATGGTTGGACTGGATGATCTTGGAAATCTATTCCAACTTCGGTGACTCTGTGATTCTATGTGCATGAAGCTCACAAGCACCATCCCACCACCTTCCTCACAGCCCTCACTGCCTTGGGTCTGCGTGAGTGATCGACTGAAGGATGCTCACAGGTGAACACTCTTAAAATAGAAGCCTCCCCAGTGACAACGGGAATTCATGGGTTCAACAGGAGAGCTATGGGAACAGCTGCAGGAAGCAATGGTTCAGGAGGGAGCTGAAAGCTTGGGACAGAGATGATACTAGAGGACATTCATCTTGTGGTGATAGGAGGAAAACATGAGCAATGAGAGCCAGGCTGCCACTGAGAAAGACAGAGCAGCTCCAGTGCTCCCAGACCTTCTTGCACCCCACACCAACCAACTGGTGACCCTACTGGCATCCAAGTCTTCTTCTAACCACACCACCACACACTACAGCCACACCAAAACAATCAAGTGGAATAAAACTACTCTCGCACCCTTTTTTCTAAGCTTTAAGTTTAGAATGCAAAAAGCCTTCAAATCATAAGTTGGCATCCTCTTTCATCAGTTACATAATTACTCCGCTATTGCTGATTAGCAACCAACTGTAAACTTTTGTCTCGGAAGATGTCCCCTGTTCAGAGCAGGGCTGAAAGCACATGTCAGGTACTGCACTGATTCTCAGTCCAGAAATGAACAGCCCTCAGGATGGCATCAACCCATGACTGCTCTTCCCATAATCAGAAGCTGTTACAGTGGCAAGCCAAGAGAAACCCAGAGCCACATTCAATTGGAAATTCAAAGTAAAAGCAAACGCCTGGGAAAGGCACAGATGCACAAAAATAAAACCTTACCTGGGCCAAAAGGTGACAAATTGCTCTCCCCACTGTCAGAGCTGGAGAGACTTTTTCAGCAGAGGCACGCACTGAGAAATGCCGTGTTTCATTCAGCTGAAAGACCTGGGATTGATGCAATTAAATCCCCAAAGGTGCAAGGGTAAATACAGCTGCAGTAATGAAGTGGGAGATCAGACTCCAGGTCATTAGACTTTTGGTTTGATGCCAACAAGATCAGAGTCCAGAAGCAGCAATCAGGATCCTACATGCAGCCAAAGAGAAGGGGAGAGGGGATGGAGCAAGACAAAGATAGAGCCAGGCTTCCCCAAAACAGCCTCAGCCCCCAAAGTATTCCACTCCATAAGGCACCACACTGAGTGTAGGATGGGGCCAGGTGGGAGGAGATCTGCAGGGACCCTACACCATGGACACAGAGCAATGTTTGAGAGGAAGTAGGTGAAATCTCACAATAGCCACACGCAGTCACACCTCCAGTAAACACATGGGAAAGAGCACAATTCCCTACAGCACACCAACAGCAGCAAAAGGTGGACGTGGAGGAGTTACCCCAGTGATAGGTGTCAGAGAGCTCTCATTAAGCCAAGGGAATGAGCCCATAATCAGGGCTCAGAGTAACTCGTGAAAGATGAACAGCTTAAAAGGCATTTAGCTGATGTGAAGAACAGATCTATCACTGTAGCTGGGAATTCAGTTAGAGCTCCATAACCCCAAAGTTTTCTGCTGGAATATTAGCTGAAAGTTCAACACAACTGAAAGTTAGGTATTGTTTGCTATACAAACAGCAAAACCATTCATTCGTTTAGCACTGTTAACAAAACAAAGAATAACAGCACAGATGGAGCACTGTTAGTTGGATGGTGACATTGCCTGAGCATTCTGAATCAACATCTTCCTTAGGTCCAATCAGGCAAATAAAGAGTACTGAACATGCCAAGTCCTGAACCTTGCTGATCAGCAGCCAGCATTCCTCAGGTCCCACAGTAAACTCAAACACACAGAGATAGAATCATAGAACCATGAAAGTTGAAAAATACCTCCAAGATCATGGTGTTCAACCATCAACCCAAGTCCAAGAGAGTTCATTACCACTGGACCCTGGATGGGTTCCTTTTTACCATAGAATGGCCTGGGTTGCACAGGAGCACAGTGCTCATCCAGTTCCAACCCCCTGCTGTGTGCAGGTCGCCAACCAGCAGCCCAGGCTGCCCAGAGCCACATCCAGCCTGGCCTTGAATGCCTGCAGGGATGGGGCATCCACAGCCTCCTTGGGCAACCTGTGCCAGTGCATTCCAGTTACGTAAGAGTAGAAGACTGCAAGAAAAAAGCCTTTCACAGAGAGGCACTGGCACATGTTGCCCTGTCCTTGGCACATTCAAGTCAGGCTGGGCAGAGTCTGAACACGTGGTAGAGCCTAGATGTTCCCATTCGTTGCAGCAGAATTGGGCTACACGACCTTTAAAGGTCCCTTCCAACACTGAAGATTCCACGACAATGGAATTGCGTTGCTCTCTGCCTCCTCTTGGAAGGCTCACAACCACAAGACAGACTTTTCTGCGTCACACCTGAGGTCAGAAACAAACACCCTGAAACACCAGTCAAAAGGCTGATGCTTCCTCTCCTCTAAGTAATCAGCATCTAGAAATATGCACAGAAAGGGACAGCCTGCAGCAAGGCTCCCAGTCTATACTTGGATTAATTATTTGCATTTTAACAACTCTGCAAACCCACAGAGAATCAAGTTAACTATTTCCCCATCTGAGGTTTTATTTTATTAATGAAAGCACTGCCAGAAGGGTGACATGTTTGTTTTAATGATTCTGTTCCCCTAATTTACACAGCAGTCACTTAGGCCTTGCGTAGATTTGCAGATCAGCAAATGGTCCTTGTTAGTGCGTATGTGCAACTCACACAGGCAAAAAACACTAACTAGCTTGATTTGCTGATCAGCGGATTTGTACGATATTTAAATGAATGTAGAGCTCTAATTCATTAAAGCAAACCTAATGATTTTCCCCTTCAGCATTTTCATACAATCCCTCATTCCCCTACAGAAACTGTGGCAAGCAGTAACTCAATAGCAGGAAAAACCTGCCAACACAGAGCTGGGGATAAACAATTCAAACTGCAGCAAAGAAATAATCCTGCAGCACCTGCACCCCATGGGAAGCACCGATGGGCAAGCAAGGACCCAGCTCCACCAGCACCTGCCAATGGCTGCAGGAAGCTGCATCTCCCAGCTCACACATCACTTTGTGCTCATTACTGGCACACTCTGCACAACCCCGTGTGCTTCTCTCCCTCCCCCCCCAGACCTCCAAACTTAAGTTTTGTCTGTGTGTGTGTGCGAGCTTCCTTCCAGCGCACTACTTCAGTTGGCAATCTCAGCCCTCCCCTTGTTGTTACAGGGATATACGCATCCATCACTTGTGTTGTGTGAGCAGTGAGCTCCACTCTTCTCTCAAGGACTCCAAGGAGGAGCACGGCTGGGTTTGCAGCAGGCTGTGTCTGGCCTGCATCCATCACACATGCTATGGCTGAGACCATGAAAGATACAGGTCAGAGCTGCTCTCTCAGTGGTGGGTCTTCTCCCACCTCCTGCAGCCAGGTACCACCCTCAGCCTTGCTCTGAATTTCAGAATCAGCGTTTTTCCCAGCTTCTCCCAAGCCTCAGGCATCTCACACTGATTTTTCCAGTACCCCCCATTTGGCAGAGAGCAGGGCAAACCAGATGGACAAATACCAGTAGAGAACACTTAACTCTGCTTCTGCATAAGCAGCAATACCTTGCATGCAGATGGTGTTGGAGTTGGCTGGGTGCAAGGTGTGGACACCTTGCAGAAAATCACTCACACCGAGTATAAAGACAGGAAAAACAACCAGCAAAGATAACAGAGGCAAACACTGCTTGCCCAGGGGCACCACCAGGCTTTAGATCCAACCCAAACCACCAGCACTCTTTACACTTGTTTCAAAGCAAGCTTTCCAGTGAACAGAAGCCATACAGCTGGTTGCACATCGCCACTGTGCAACGCATTAAGCCGTTTGATTTAATGAATGACGCAATTACAATTATACATATTAAACATGACTGCCCGCTGTACAGCTGACTACAGAGCGGCGTGTTGCAGAAAAGCTTCTCTGTCAGCTTACGCCAGGCAGGATGAATGAAGCAGACACACCAAGTGTTTCTAAGGGGAAGCACAGACGAGGCCCATTTGCACGTCTGTCTCTATTAACTCAGGCCCTGCTTTGATTTCTGCCTTTGTGCCAGGAAACGGGATTCCTATAAAGGAAGGCACAGAGCACATTGGCAGACACGAGCCTCCCAGCACACACACAGCCCTCACACATGGCGTACAGCTGGGGATGAGCGTGGGATGTCTTGTGGCAACCCTCTGCTGGCACTGCACTGGGTTCCTTTAGGTACCAGGGGAAACAGATACCACCTAAGCAAAAAAAGGAACAGAAGACGTTCTCCCTTTACTACCTCAAATATCCCACCAGGCTACAAGAAAGAAGGGACAGACTCTTTAGTCAGGTCTGTTGTGAAAGAACAAGGGGAAATGGCTTCAAACTAAAATGGGAGATTTAGACCACATATAAGGAAGAAATCGTATACAGTAAGAATGATAAGGCACTGCACAGGCTGCCCAGAGAGGAGGTGCTGCCCCATCCCTGTAGATACCCAAGGTCAGGGGATGGGCTGTGAGCACAGATGGAACTGTGAGTGTCCCTGTGCATTGCAGGGAGTAGGACCAGATGGCCTTGAAGAGTCCCTTCCAATCCAAATAATTCCACAGGCAAAACCTTGTACTTAGATCAGCCCCTTTCTACCTCCTTGCTGCTGTTGGGACCTTGTTGTTGTTGCAGGACCAGAAGCAGTTGCAACAATACAGACACCCAGAACACCTTTCCCAGCCCCAAAGCACTCTGTTTTCCCCACACTGATAGGATGCACACATCTGGAAAGGCATACACAGCTGCGTGGTACTCTGCAGACAAACACTCAGAACAAGCACAACCACTAAAGCAGAGGACAGATCCCCCTCCATTTGCTTTGAAAGACATTGGTCAGATTTTCTACCCAGTTAATACAACCAGTCTGATTCTTGCAGAGAAGCACTGATGAAGACAGGTTAGATCGGGCTTTTTGCTCCTCTGGGATCCTCGATGGGAAGGGCTGTTCTTAGAGCCACCCATTTCTTGCAGCAGTGCTGGAACGAGAGCACTTGGGAGTGGGCATATCTGAGTTCAAGACTTCACCATTTCAGCCCCGTGCCCCAAATCCCAGTCATTATTGCTGCAGATCTCCCCCCTCTGCAAATAGAAGAGCACAATCCCCTCTCCTGGCCCAGAAGCACCTCACTAGCAGCCAGCAGTGGCAATTGGAGCCAATGCAGAGCCAGACACAGCGCTGCAGCATTGAGCACAACACAGTAACGGAGCTAACTCGATTTTAACACAACTGGACTGAGAAACTCCAAGCTAAAAAAAAAAAAAAAAAGAAAAGGTAAAAGACCAAGAAGGACAGCCAGTTTCCATGGCAACAGGGAGATATGAAAGCAAGAGCTGATGGAACCTTTACAGTTATTTAAATGCTTATTATAGCATTATGCAAAACACCCGAGTAAAGAAAACTGAGAGGTTAACACACTTATAAGAAAAACAGTCATTGTTGGATGAGCAAGGCAATGATTTAAGTCAAAAATAAGGCCTGTTTAAATTGAGCCATTAGAAATAATGATACAATTATACCCTCTTAAATTAACAAGCAAAATTTGTTTGGACAAGTGGAAGAAGGCGGGGGCTCTTGTTGGGCCACAGCGCTGGGTGCCAGCTCACCTCTCACCAACAGTGCATTCCTCCTCCAGCCTCACTGTGTGCCCCTGCGCCCATAGGGGTGGCTTGGGGCAAGGCAGAGCCATCGCACCACAGAGCAGCACCCTTCTCCTCCTGCACCCACCCAGCACAGCACCCAGCACAGCCCCCTGCCCCATGTTTTCACCCAGAGGATAGTGATGCACTGGCACAGGTTGCCCAAGGAGGCTGTGGATGCCCCATCCCTGCAGGCATTCAAGGCCAGGCTGGATGTGG